TAAATGAGAATTCCTATAAGGGCATCTGAAATTCAATGGGACTGAGTAGGACCAAGTGAAATTTTCACAGACCTTTTTAAAAAAAAAAATATTAAAAATGTGCATGGAATTTGTTAGGAAGGAAAATAACAGGTAAGAACTTTCTTTCTTTCCCGTACTTTTAACGCCCAAAAGCAGAGAAATTTAAAGCAAAACCAGCCAAGGAATAGAAGGGGAACAGAGACCAATTTGCCCTTCAGTGTTTCCTCCATCCTGCACAGAGGAGAGGCACGGTCCTCCAGGACAGACACAGAAAGCCCTTTGAAAAAAGCAGCGAGGGCTGGCTGGGGTGGAGAGTGTTTCTTTTTTTATTTTTTTCACCTGCACCATCCAGGGTACAGCCGGGTGGAGCTGACATCTGAGAGAAGAAGAAGACGGGTCACTATTCTATTTTCTCTTTTTGTTAAGCCAAGGGGTAGGCTTTTAATTATTTATAAATCAAACCCCTCTGGGTAGACGCCTTCGGAGATACTGGGATAGTCCTGCCTTGCACGATATTAGCGATCACGTACAGGGAGAAGGATAAGAGGAGCCTCTACAAGACCCGTTTGCCTGCTGTGGTCCGGCACAGTTACAAAAATGAACAAGAACATTGCTACACTACTGGATTGATTGCTACCCTCTCTCTCCCCTCCCCTCCCCCAACCATAACAACAAAAAATCAGCTGGGATCTGCTCGCACCGGGACCTCCTCTGATTCCATCTCGGTGGTGGATGCATTTTTCATGAGCACTAGGTGAACAGGTGCAAAGTACATTTGGAAGACCCCGGCACGGCCCGTTTTGTAGCGTGCGTGGTGTGTCTCGGAGGCTATGATGGAGAGCGGCGACCGGGACATGTACCGCCAGTTCCAGGACTGGTGTCTCAGGACTTACGGGGACTCGGGGAAAACCAAGACCGTGACCCGTAAAAAATACGACCGGATCGTCCAGCTCTTGAATGGCTCCGAATCGAGCTCCACGGATAATGCCAAATTCAAATTCTGGGTCAAGTCGAAAGGCTTCCAGCTCGGCAATTCGGACGAGGTCAATGGTGCTGGTGGAGGAGCGAAGCAAGTGCTGTACGTGCCAGTCAAAACCACGGTTAGTAGAGAATTGTCTTCCTTGTTATATGTCGACCAATGCAGCTTAGAGTGGGAGAGAGGGAAAGGGGGAGCCACAGCCACAGTTGGCTCGTTTCTCTCTCTTCCCCTAAGTCATCACCATGTTGTATTTGCATGTCACATTGTGCACAGGTTAGGGCTTTGTGGCCCTTTATAGTTAAAGTCATCAGCCCCCCTCCATTCTCCCCGCTGGCTCTGTGCTGTTATTTTGGGGCGAGCTATTGTCCCGGCTGTGTGGTGTCTGTCGCGTGCCGAGCCATTGTAGAAAGGCCACACAATTACGCTTACAGCTGCACATTTTCATAATATGCTGTTTGCGATCGATAGAGCACGGTGTATCCTTCCTGGCGCAAAGCCAAATGTGGCGCTGGTCGTTTATTTGGGGGCTTCCCCAGGATATCGGGCTATTTTATTGTTAGACCGCAGCCCCTGAGACACAGCAGCAGGGATATGCCTGGATGACTCTGGAGCGTTGCTATTTTATTAAAGGAGACGAGGAGAGGATGATCTACAAAGAGAGAGGAAGAGAGAGAGGTTCCCACATGACCAAATAGCAAATTTTGTTTCTCTTTCTGGGATTGCTCAAGTCTCACAGCTATAAAGCTGAAACTCAATTGATGCCATCCAGTAGAGGCACGAGCCTTCCTAGGGTCTGAATCTGAATAGCTAGACGCAGTTCTAACAGCGGCGGAGCTGTTATGCTTGGTGGTGGCAGGAACTACAGCATTTCCTCTTTAAGAAGATGGGAACGATTGGCTACAAGTAGGTTTGCATATTGAACTCTTTAATTTATCATTTTCCTCTTTAATCTTCCTCAAAGAATCTAGACTCCTTATTTGGAGATCTAAAGATGGAAACACGGGTAATCTTTTATTTTTGCTTCAATACTTTGATTTGATAAACAGTATTTTCTTTTGCACTGAAATCTCATCGTGGTCTAAGGAAAATCTCATGCTCTTGGATGGCATAATGCAGAATTCTTCTTGAAAAGTAGCTAGGTTTAATTAAAACATATAGTGCTGGGAAAAATCTGGAAATCCTGTATAAGTATCTTCTTCAAAGTATTAATACATTAAGGCATTGGGGTGCTGGTTTATATTGTCCTCTTTCTAATAATCAGATTGACTGTTGCCAGGAAATATAGATGTGGAATTAATTTTGTAAAGGAGTTAAAAAGCAAGGGATAATAGAGAATGTTCTGAGCAATGTTTTTGTTCCCTTCTTACCAGTTCTATTCACAGAGGGTTCTAGGTCTGCCTATAGGTGCAGCCTTTTCATGGAAAAAGGCATGTTACTTTTCTAAAGTTAAGCAGCAGATTATTAATATCTGACCCTGAGATTTACTGTAGATTACATATATTTTGGGATGGAAATTGAAAATCGAGCATAGAACAAAGGAAAAATTATCTCAAATATAATTATACTTCTCTATGCTATCTTATTTTATTCTTCCATTAACTGGAGCAGTGTTTTTTTTAAGTGTCTTGAGTGAAATATCTTTTAATTCTTATGGGTTTACATTTCACCACAATTTCAAAACTGTGAGCGAATTTCTTTTGTTAGAGTAACATTAAATGAATTCATGGGCTGAATAAAAAAAGACTAACTTTAATTTTACAGGATTTAGTAAAAGCTAGAGCATTTCTGGGCCTTTCAAAAACAACATTAGTGTATGTCACCAACTTGTACATTGTTTGGCATCTTTACTAGGTCAGGAGGGTTTGGATTTCCTCCCTGCTTTTGTTGTTTGTTGTTATTGTTCTTGATTTTTTTCAGTCTCAGGTGTCTAGGTCACTTCTTGGTGTGTTTACTTGTTAAGAGATTTTACTGAAATGTTGATCTTCATGATAGTTTTGCCACTACTCGCATTTGGAATCCTGTGAATATTTGTGTATTTGTGATAAATATTATAAACATTATAACAATCAACCAAGCACCACAGCAAAAGTAGGGCAAAAGAGCTACCATGATATATCCATAAAAATAAAAAGTTTTTTTGGCATTACATTGAATTATTAAACATAAAATATTAATTAACAGATCTTGCAGTCTTTGCTCAGGTAAAACATCCCCTGTCTTCCATGTGCGTGAGTGTTTGGTTTCCAAAATCTGTTTCCCAGTATAAACAAGATAAGAGTATGCACAAACTAGGGTTGCCAGATGGTTTCAGAAAAAATACCAAAAAAAAAGGACCCTGAGAGTTAAGCAAGAAAATAAAACAAAACAAAAACAGTGTGGCCCCTTTAAGAAACGCATGGTGAGGCTTTTTGGCCCTAACAGGCTGCCGGCAGCCGCCCACCATCTTGCCTCCCTGCACGGGGCCGGACAGCTCCCCTGAGGAACCCGGTAAGCACTCGGGTTGCCAGGCTGCCTCCGTATTGAGCCAGACAGCCCGGGATTTTCTCCTCCTGGCCAGGAAAAAGTCAGAAAGTACTTGTCATTTTAGGTGTCTGGTATTTTCTGAATTTTTTTACCGGCAGGAGACGAAAATACCAAACTGTCCGGTTCAATACCGGATACCTGGCAACCCTATGCACAATATTCAGGTACAATTTATCAGTTGCTAAAAAACAAATGTCATCCTCCACTTAAACACATACAACCAACTTTATACTCCAGTCACAAAGTAGGTTTGTGTAAATAGAGCTGTAGACTGGTATCTGTTTATCTGATATGTTACTTTATGCTAAAGAGTGCCAAATGCTCTATGCTCAGAAAGAAATTGTTTTATATATTATGGGTGAAATCCTGAGCCCACGAAAAAAGTTTCAGAGGGCTAGCTCATCTGAAGAAATGGGTTGTGCCCACGAAAGCTCATACTATATTTATATATTTGTTAGACTCTAAGTGAGTGTTTCTCAAAGTGGTCTGTGGACCCACTCTGAGAAATCTTCTACCAGGCCACTCCTGTTTGTTTACTTACTGGCTCCACAGCCATGGAGCCTCGTGGCTCCCAATGGCTGCAGTTCACCGTTTGCAGCCAAGGGGAGCTGCGAGAAGCAGTGGCCTAGGTCACTCTACTTCCCGCAGCTCCTCTTGGCTATAATCGGTGAACAGCAGCCAATAGGAGCAACCAGGACGGATAAGAAAACAAACGGGAGCAGCCCCTAGCAGCTTTTTCAGAGTAGGTCTGCAGACCACTTTGAGAAATTCTGCTTTAAGGTGCTACAGGACCACTCGTTTCTTAAGGGTTTTTTTTTATTATTTTTGTTTTTGGTCCCATGGAAGTTAGTGACAAAATTTCCATTGGTTTAAATTGCACTATGATTTCATTCCATAACTAAAAAATATGTTTTATGTAGGAGTAATCTGACGTTTATAAGATTATTGATATAAGGTATTGTTTTAGCGCTCAAAAGCCCACCCTTTCATTCATTTAATAAAATCCACACTAACTATTGGAGAGTTTATTCATTTCTGATAATTCAGAACTAACCCTAATTGTCTAGTTTGTACATACCCCATTTTTTGTCTTACTTTTGTCACAGACATGTGAACTCCTCCTGTCCACAGAAACAGCCACAAACAGTGTCAAAGCCTAAAAGAGAAAAAACTTTCCCATCACTTGACCTCACAATAGGTAAAAGTAATTTCAATGTACAATTAATCATCTGTGGTAATTCTGGCCAATACAAACACTCTCTCTGCATTAATAAGATAAATGAAATTAAGGTTAACTTCTGAGTCATAAACTGGTAACATATAAGCAAATAATATTCAACTACATTATTAGAAATTATTCTTTCCTTGAAGCTCTAAGGTTTGCTGCTCTGCTTTGCTGTCAGCCACAGATATTTGCTCCTGATGGTGCTGTAATCCACTGCTGCTGGTAATTAGACATCATTACTGCTGCAAAGAGAGAAGGGAAGAGGACTGGCTGGGGCTAATTAACTACTTGATTCTAATGAAAGAAAGAGAGACTGATAGCAACTGGGAGGTTGCACCGGAACAGACTAGACATACAACGCAGACTTAATTGGAGCAAGGGTATCTTGTAGGCTTAGAGTACAGAGGCTTGGTCTACTTTTTGTATTTCATGGGCAGTGACATGCTAGGTTTTATTCCATTTTTCCCATTGCTTGTTTGGTGAGCATCACAAAATTACAAGCCTGTTTTAAATATCAACTTAAATGTGCAGGCAAGTGGACTAGTAGATAGTTACACATAGACTTCTATTTTACTGGCCTGGTCTCCTCAAGAACAGCAGGAACGAATCAATCTCTGAATGTTCACATCTCTCTGTGGCCTAGGAGATGCACTCTTGGTCACCAAGCAACAGCATCCTGCAAAACAGCCATTTTAGGTCCAGAGTGGGACAACATACAGTGAATTATGTGCATACAGTCCAGAGAACATCTTACTTCTGCTACTTTTCACATTGTTACTGTTATTGTCATATGTTCTTTTTCATTAAACCCACGCTGCATTATGATATCAGTGAAATGATGCCTAATCTAAAGGTATTTAATAAAAGTGTTACATTGAGAAATATGCTAAATGGCTGACAAAATTATTACAAACTTTTAATGGTGGGCACTCACAGTCACTTAAAAAGGTGTAGAACAAATTTACTAATGCAATATCTTCTTTTGCTAATGCAAATGACTGTTGTGATTGGCTTCCTTGTGTTCCCTATTCAGCCACTCTGTTGAAATTATCTGATGAAAAACTAGAGAACAAAACAATAATAATTAATAATTATTACTTGTATTTTACTTGATTGTATTATTCCTGGGCAAAAATATGGTTCTGAGAATTTTCCCAGGTTTAGAAATTGCTCAAAAATAAGCTAAGCAATAATGAGCCAATAAATACCATCAGATTTTACGCAGAACTGCACACTTAAATAAGAAATTATATCTTTTTGTGCAGAATATAGTTTGTACATAAATCTACAGGAACAGGAGCTGAAGGGCCAGATTTGATAACAGTATGAATCTGGGGTAACTTCACTGACTGCAATGGATTTACTCTTGAACAAATGACATCACAGTCTAGTATTCTGCATGAATTTTTCCATATATTTATATAATTTTCTCACTTGAGAACATAAAACCAGTCTTCATTCAAAAACAAACATATGTTAGCTTTTTTTGATCCCTAGATCCTGATTCTTCAGGATTATATGCCTTAGCGGAATATTGGAGCTCCAAACAAGCTAACAGTCTGCACTAATTGATTTTATTACTGGATTGGGGGCTTAACATTATGTTTTATTGGGTTCAATAGACCAGTCCCATTCTCCATATATCTATTTATGGAGTCATTTCCTGATATTATAATTTGAAGGGTGCAATTTTGGTTATGAATGCTAATATACAAGAAATACATGAAGAACAAAACAAATAGTTTGTATGTTAAAAGAGAAGGTGACATTGTCACCATATGTTTTCAATTACTTTCTTCTAGTGGAAAATTTTACTATAATCTAAAAGTATGCAGTGTCATTTCAATAATTTTCTTTTTATTATTGTAGCAGTATTAAAGGTAAACAAACAAGTCTGGAAAATATATGTTGGTAGCTGTATACATTAATGAACTAATAAATGTAACAAATGTAAGTGACGCATAAAGTGAAACAATGAAATTAAGAGGATGATGTTGAATGTTGGCTGTAATTTAACCCAGAATACACTTGTGCAGTAGCTCTTAGTCCGATTAAATGTTTCTCCATTTCTCCAAAACTCCACTCAACCCCTCATTTCCTGAAATGTCTTGCTCATTCACCTTCCCCTCATAACCACATCTTTGCTCAACTCTTCACAGGTCCATCTGTTCCTATTCCTCTTACCCACTCACTATACCTCTACTTCTTAGCTTGCTTCCTGTTCTCCCAATGATCTCTGTGACTAATTGATGAATCAGGAAGGGTGCATCTACACGGCAGGGCTTAACTTGAAATATGCTATGCAAATTGAGCTATGTCAATTGCATAGCTTATTTAGAAATTGGGAATGTCTACACAGCACTTATTTTGAAATAGAACACTCTTCCTCTGACTTCCCTTTCTCCTTGTACAATGAGGGTTACAGGAGTTGGAGTAAGAAGTCCTCCAGCTTGACAGTATTTCAACATTATTTTCAAATAACTGCCTGCTGTGTAGACACAGCCTTAGTTATTTTAAAATAATGCTAGTTATTTCAAAATAATGTTGCTGTGTAAATGTACCCAAAAGCATACTGGTAGTGTTAGAAAATGGACATAGCTGATGAAACTAGGCAGTTCAGATGGTTATTTTTTATATAGCTCAATTAGGTTTTCATGAATAAAGGGAATAAACCTATGTCATCAAATTTAAAATGTCAAAAGTGGCATATATTTAAGATGCTATCTGTATGTGTTAACATTTATGATATGTTGGAGTTTGAGTTAACTGTGTTTGTTTATCTAGAACTAAAGAAGTGTGAGGAAAAACAGCAACTTTTCGAAAAGAAAGCATCTGTAAATGTTTCCTCTGTAAAATTATAAACTATTTTATTTTAAGATTACATACCAAATACCATTGTTCTTTGAATAATGTGTCAAAGTTAGAAACCAAATGAAATCACGTAAGTGTAAAACAATAATTTTAGTCTGAACAGAAGTCACTCCTGACATCTCTGTTTTATATATATTCATACAACACAATCTGATACCCACCTACTTCATCAAAAACGAATCACCCCAATAAAGAACCAACATCTAGCATGAAAGATGAAATCTGTAAATCTGCAAACTTTTGATCCCCATCTTTCTCCAGCAAATGTCTTGTAGAAGCAGTATTCCAAATATATGTTGCAAATTTAATTTATGGAAAATGTTGGAACTTTGCTTGGAATATTATGGAGAAAGAGGACTTGATTCTCCCTCTGTTCTTTGGGCATTAAGCTTCCACCAAAGTGCAGGAGGCAGTTTATGAGAGTGAGGCACAGCCAACAGACAAAAAGAAGAGCTAGCTAGAAGAGGCAGTAGAATTGGCAAAGAGAACTTTGAAGTAGATTAGGAAACATAAAAGAGGGACAGATCAAGAGAACACTGAAACTCATGATTCTACAGCTCAGATTTACCTCGGTGGAGAGCCCCTGGCAACAGAGATGTTTGGGAATGTGGTGGCACCAGGCACCACAAAAATTTCATTCCTGAGTAGCTTGCATTGGCCAACATAGCTCCCGAAATGGGCAGCTCTGACAGAGTTAGTGTGACTGAAGGATGTATATTGATTTTGCCTATCTCCTAAGGAGCTGTCAGAAGAAAGTAAAGCTGCCTCTGACTAGTAAAGTCCCTAAAGGAGGACAGATGGCCAATTTAGAACATGCAGGTGCAGTTTATGTTACTCTGCACTAGCAAGAGTGATCTTGATCTTCCACCTTTTCACCTAAGACTTTTGACCGTATTTAAGTGGATGAGCATCAACATATTAAACACCACTTTTAAACAGGTGCACTGAATTAAAATATCCAGATAGGTAAGGAACACTTGCCAAAATTAATGAATGTTGTGCATTCTTGTATAAGCAAGGGACCTTGTTAAAGGTCACCATTTCTTTGTCTGATGAATGGAAACTTCCTACCCATTCATTTCAGTGTGAGTTCTATGGCTATTAGTACAGAGTTTGATACACCTAGTCCAGAGTTTTGTAAATTGAGTACCTTGCCATTAGGATAAATATATATACATGGACTAAAGATAGTCTCCTAAATTTAATGTAGGATTTGAACCACTTACTTGTTCCAGGGAATTCATATCAATTTAAGGGACTGTCTGTAGTGGACATTTTACTTAATAAATCTGATCTATGGCAGAGTTCACCTTAAGCAAAGACTTTTTCAAACATAAATATATAATATGAACATTGTTAATTTTTATTAAATAGCCTACTTGAAACTATGATGAAATCTGTTCAACAATTTTCACCTGACAAGTTGTAAATGAGCTCCTCTGGGAAATGACAGGCCAGAATTTTACCAATAAACTCACTGTATCTGAAAGTCTTCTGAATTGTTGTTCCCCAAGATTCTTTGATTTAGCAACAAACTATCAATGCTACATATTGGACCACCCTTGTCCTGCACCCTTGGGACCTGACTGGTCCCAAATGAGGGAGTTTGCCTCACCAGGGCAGGTCAATTATGTGCCCCCCTCCCGGCACCAGCCCTGCCTCACCTAGCTCTGCTCCTGACCTGGCTGCTGGCCTCCTGGCTGGCTCCTCCCCCCAGCCACTGGCCTAGCTGGGCTCATGGCCACAGCAGGGCTTCCAGCCCCACTGCTGCCAGCCCAGCAGGGGCTGCCAGATCCTCCTGCTGCTGGCCTCCCAGCCAGCTTCCTGCCTGCGTCCAGCCCCACTGGGCCTACCAGGCTCCTGGACTCACTGAAGTCCACTCCTGTGTTGTGCTACCAGCCCCACCAGAGTCCAGACCCATGGGAACCTGCTGACATGCCAGCCCTTCTGGGCTCATGGTTGCCAGCCCCTGCTGTTCTGCTCACCCCATTGGAGCCCGCTGGTGTGCAGGTGCCTCTGCTGTCAAGCCCAGCCAAACTTCTATGACAGGGATCCTGGCCACCAACCCCTCTTCAGCCAGCCTGAATGAGCTCCCAACCCCCGTAGGGCTCCCGGCCACTGGGACTCTCAGCTGGGCCATGGATGTTGCTGGACAAGAAAGTCCCGGTTTAGAGAGGATCAGTCTTATGTATTATGTCTTGGCCTCCTTTTTTTTTTTTTAATACATTTAGAGAGTGTGGCCACTTACACTTGAATCACTCTGACGGCAGACAATTTCTAACATGGAGAAATATGCTTTGTATTTAATCTCCATGTCTGCTAGCCAAAAGCCTAGTTATAGTTACCTATGAAGCTGTGCAAGGTCTAAACTCAAGACAGACACAAAACTTGAGTAGCGTATACTACATTATAAACTACTTTTGTGATAAAGCAACAATTTTAGTGGCATGTGGAAAATCAAACTTTTAAAAGTGATGTGTATTTTCTGTGCCTAAATTGACAATTAACAATTTTTTAAGTACATTGTGCACAGCAAGCCTTTGATAGGGCCACTGATTTTACCAGACTACGAGGGTAATCAAAGAGGACGAGAAGCTTCACTGAAAACATATGATTTCATTCCCACTATGAATGATGAGGAAGTACATATTCCCAGACTATGGGTATGTCTACACTATGGAGTTTTTTTTGGAAAAATGGCTGTTTTTCCGAAAAAACTTCATTTACATCTACACTGCAATGGCATTCTTCCAAAAGAAAATTGAAAGAACAGAAGGGTTTTTCCAACATTTGTAATCCTCATTCTATGAGGAAGAAGCATTTTTCCGAAGAGGGAGTTCTTTCGAAAGAAGAGGAAAGAGAAAAAAGCACAGGTGTCCTGGTGGCCTTTCTGTCCATAGTAATCACAGATGAAATATGAGATAGCGTCCATTCAGGGTGGACGCTATCTTTCGAAAAATCAGATCACTTTTTTGATGCACTTTTGTAGTGTGGATGCTCTCTTTTGGAAGTTTTTCTAGAAGATCTCTTCCAGAAAAGCTTCTTCTGAAAGAAGCTTGCAGTCTAGACGTAGCCTATGCTTTTCAGGTAATGAAATTGAGGCACTAACAGAAATAGAGGTATAATAGAAGAGTTGATGGACAACTCAAGATAAATTGCAATAAATTACCAGGACAAATCCAAGAGTTCTG